GAGAACTTGAGCTGCGTCCACCGCACTCTCACCGCCCCCCGTCTGAACGCGGTGTCAAGTCAACTTCAAGAAGACCGGAAGCGGGCGCATTGGCTGACAACGCTAAACAGCCCGTCTGCGCGTGCTACACGCAAAAAGGACCAGGATTTCACAGAGCAAGAAGGGGAGGGGGCAGCCCAGATCCCAACTATGTAGGATTGCCAAAGAGGAGACATTGATGAGGAGGTAGTTCTGCCTGAAGTGTCTTTCTGAGATATGCGAACTATCTCGCCACTTGGCAGAATTACAAGACAGATTTTTTTGTACACATTGATGTACACATCATCCTCCACAAATGCGAAATCGTCACCTCTCATGTAATTAGTAATCCAGATATCCGGTGGTTCGTCTGTGATGCTGTCATTTTTTGAAACATTGTTTTCCAGGAATAAATTTGAACGAGGCAAGGGTTGAGAGCCATGCAGAATTCGACGGCGTCATAAAATTCCGTAGCTTCTTACTCTGTAACTCGCTGTGATTTCCTATTAATGAGATAGACTTTTTGGTAAAAAACGATTTAGGTGTATCTTACGGTTTTATTTGTGCATGATTTCACCTTGGTTTTATGTGATTTTTTTGAGGAGTTGTGTAAGAGACCGCACAATTTTATTAGGCCATTAAATTCTGCGTGTTACTGAAACTTTGCCCTACTCAGATTTCCTGGTCGCCGAATACGAATTGTCGAAAATTCCTTCAACTAATCGACGGGGATTCTAGGTTATCGCTCTTCTTTAAATGGAAAGTTTTGCTTTTCTATTCAAAATCGATAATCAAATGTTTTAGACTACCGTACTAAAAAGATCCATTGTTAGACTTGCTTTGTCAGATAAGACAATAACTTAAACTTATTTTAGGATAAAGTAAAAACGTTATGTGGTTTCCGCTATACACACCGACTTAGAAATACAAACGTTATCCAATTTTTCTGTCTGAAAATTACTTTTGTTTAAGTCATCCATAAATGAAGTATTTACATTTTATTTTTATCTTATAAATAATACTAATGGGACAGCGCTGCACAGCGTCATACTGACTACACTCTTTCCACCGTGATCGTTGACATTGCAGATAAATTAAAGTGGAATTGGATTCTAGTGGGAAACGTATACACGGCATCTAAGTCACCCTCTCCTTCCACAGTCCTGATGTCTCACTATCAAGAAATGGTTCCCTTCCGCAATCCAAATTTTATCTATGAGTATTAAAATCACGTTAAGAAAACCCCCTACTCGTGATTCTTTTAGGAACCTTCGTTACCTCACGATCACACCAAACCCCACTGTATCATATTCCCTGAGTGCATAGTTTTGACATAACTACCTTATTACTGGAGAGACACCAGTAGAAACTGAATTTAGAATGGAAACGCTACTGTTCCAACAGACTCGTGTATACCATTTCCTCATTTCTTCTCTCTTCCCACTTCTTAAATTTTATTTGTAATATTCGCATATGAGGGGTTCGGATGCTTGAGCCTGCCCTTCGCCTCTAATAAAACTGATCTGAACCGGTGGAAACGTACAGAGTTGGCACATGCTCATCCCTCCGAGTGTGCATTTCGGAAACTTAGGGGGGGGGGTAGTTCTCGCTCTCAGTCCCTGCAACTAACCATGTAATCTAGGCTCTTCAGTCTAATTCGTCCGTCCTCCTATTGGACAAGATTCGTAAACAATAGTGTAACTCGGCAGCAGGATAATTAAGAAGTCGTATTTTACGGTGCTACTGCCTATCTCCTGACTTTGCAGAGATCTAGAATGAATGCCCTGAAAACTTGGTCAAACATGTCGTCGTCAAGTCCACCGTGGCTTATGGAACCGAAACACAGAAGGGAAGACTTAGATGAAGGACAACGTTCCATCCCGGCCAGTATGCAGCTGTTCATTTTGGTAGCCTGGAATGGTCGTTCAATTTTGGACAACCGTGTGGCAAACCATTCAGACGGAAGGACATTTTTGGTCTCCTGCTGAGTAGTCCTTTGTAAACTAGCCATTGCGGGTTACAGGAAGACCAGATTCACCTAACCGTAACAGCTAGAACGGGTGGGTGCCGGACTCACCTTCTGAAACGCACATACAAGGGCAGTGCGACGAGGTGCCGGAGTGATTTTGATCATCAGAAGTAACTATGCCTAGTCTAGAGCAAAGCTTACCGTTTATGACCATGAGTATGTCACCCCACAAATCACACTAGCCACCCTCACCAAATGACAACTTTTACTGAGGGAAATGGAAATTCGCCAAAGGGCTCTACGCCCGCTTAGCCACTTTGCCGAAGCAGACGGACTGATTGCCCTTGTAATCTTCAATGTCTCCACTGACAAGTACTACGCAACGTGGATGGATGTGTTCGGTCGCCAGAGCCTCCGCAGCTGAAAAACTAATGATGTCCTCCTCCTCCTTCTCCTGCAGGCCTGCAAGGATTACAGTCTTCTTCTGACCGACAACTTCACCTTCCCCCCTTCGAATGATAGAAACCTAACTGCAGGTACCCTCGACCGTGTCATTGGCAACTGTTTGACTGCCTTTTTGTTCAGCGACGTGATCGGCGCGAAATACTAGAGACAAAGACGATTTGCGATGTCAACTACTGGACGTACCAGCGCCGATCTCGCAGGTGACCCCACGGTAAGCGACCACCAAGCTAGTCAAGTGCTGTATTACTGAATACATGTGTCCGCCCCTTGGAGTTCAGCAATCAGCCGTGCTGCCAACTGTAAAGCGTCCTCTATTCTACCGTCCTGCACGTCCTTGATAACGCATCCCACCATCATCAAGACTGGTTTGACGATGGAAACGACGAAATTTGTCGTCTACTCTCTGAGAATAACAGATTGCACACAACCTACGTCATCCACTAGAACGATGTAAACAAAGTGATCCTATTCAGAAGGCAACGCCTGTTTCGGCAACGACTGCAAAAATGAAAACTACGTGGGTGAATCGCGAAATTGGACAGATGCAAAGATACGCAGACCGAAACATGGGATTAGTAAAGATAAAACCAATGTTTTTCAGATTTTCGTCAAGTCCACGTAGTTCCTGGTTGACTGACGCTTTCATTGATTGATATGCAACTTTGTCATTTCAAACCGTTCACCTCATTGGTTATCTTCCGACTAAGTTCATTGTAGTTTCATACTTTGGTTATTCCTTCATACCTACCCGTAATTGGTAGAAGGATGCTCACCGATCGTCCCGTTATGTCTTGGGGCTCTTTCTCGAGCTTAACTGGCAGCCGCACAGCGGCACATAATGTAGACGGAATAGGCAAAATAGACGAACAATAGGCAAAATATTAAAAATAACGGTTTCGAGAAGTCTAGTGATTATCTCATGCGTCATTCTATATTTACTGCAAAATTTACACATGCCTATTGGTCTATTCTGTTTAAACCTATCCAAATCACCTGAAGGACCCATCTGCACGAACGAAGATTCTCTCAGACCAACTGATCGTTGCCAAATGACCTCCAGTATTCTTTCCCGAACGGCTTCCAGTTTCTTCCAATTAACTTCTACCCCTGGCACTTATATGCAGTAGATGTGCTGTTTTACGAAATATTAACCGGAATTTTGGAGTGTGATTTCAATTCAAAAAGGTTCCAGGAAACAATCAGGGCCGTGCAGCAGCTCTCCAGCGGGAAAGCACCCGGATCGGACGCAATCCCTGCTGAGGTCTACAAGCACGGAGGTCCACAACTGATGGATCACCTGACTGCGCTCTTCCAAGAGATGTGGCGTCAAGGCGAAGTCCCCCAAGATTTCAAAGACGCAACCATCGTGCATCTGTACAAGCGCAAAGGGAATCGCCAAATCTGCGACAATCACCGCGGCATCTGCTTGCTGAGCATCTCCGGGAAGGTATTCGCTCGTATCCTTCTCAATCGCCTCAATGACAGTTCGACCATCGTTTTCGATGATGTCCACCGTGTGCCCCACATTTGCAGCAGCAATGGGAGCAGGGACGGTGACTTACGCAGGGGTTTATAGTGCCGGTAGACTTGCGCTGCATATACCTACACTCTCTCCTCCTCCCTCGCCCGAGCCCGGTGTCAAGACAGAGTCAAGAAGACCGGAGACGAGA